TGCATCTGTCCGCCTGCCTGCCCGCCTGCACCTGTGGGGCCCCTGCCCTGTTCTGTTTAATTTCGCAGGTACCAATGGGATCTTTTCTCCTTTGGCAAGGCGATTCTGTGAGGGTTTTTTTAAAAAAAAAAGTTTATGTCATGCCCTCCTTCCTGCCCCCCTGGCTAGGCGGTCACCAGTGCTCCCTCCCTTCTCCGCTTCTCTGTCCTGCTGCTGCTGCTGGTGGTAGTGAAGAAGGAGCCGGAGGGGGTCGTGGCCGGCGACAAGGGCTTGCACGCCCCTCCTCCTCCTCCTCCTTGGAGTCACAGCCAGGCTAAGTAAACTCCTGGGCGGCTTCCTCAGGCTCTTGCTCCACTTTGCAGAAATCTGATGTGGCGCAGCCTCACCCAGACTCTGCCTCCAGTGGCCCCCAGGTAAATTGAGTTTGAGACCCCTGTTTTAAAGTAACATGAATGATAACTACTTACATTTGAACAGAAAGTACAGCAGATAGTTATGATTATAATGGTAAGTAATTAATGGGGGCTTTGAGCTCTAACTGTAAAAAATTAAAGTATTTTTTGTCCTCTACTGAAAACAGGAGTAAACAATACATTTTATTCCATTGCCTCCATTTCCAAAGTATAGTCCCAGGGTGCTGAGAAAGAGACGTATTTTTCTGGAAATCTCTTGGAAGATAGACAGTCTCCCAGCACTTGGTAACTCCTCTCTGCAGCATAAGCCTCCTGTTTTCCAGGGAGAGGCCTGGACGGTGTACAGGACCAAATCAGCCTATTCCACAGGCTGGTTTCCTTCCAAAGAACATTCCTAAACATATCCTCCAGTTATTTTTATATGGCCAGGAAACTATCACAGTCAGAACTGTGGACCAGCAGCATTTTTTCATTTAATGTTTGCTGAAGCTTGCCTGTACTTGGCAATGTTTCAGACCTCAGGAGGATCATGAATGTGGCGTTTCTTATGCTCTGTTTGACACAACTGCTTGATTTCTGCAATGAGACCTTTGAGTGTCAGCATATTCCTGGAACCTATGATATTCTACTTTTTAACCCCACATGACAATGACTAGGCAGTACTTATAGTAAGATGAACACAGAACACAGAAAGCTGCCTTATACCATGTCGGACTGGAAACTTTTGCATATAAAATATGTGTTTTGTCACTCAACCATCATCCAATCGAGATCCTTCCAGGTCTGTTTTGGCCAGAGCCTAGTATGGAAAACTTAAGTTTTGGGGCTGCACCTTCCATAATCTCCCAGCACCTTCCCTACTGGAAGACTCAAGAAGGCATAATTAAAAACCCTAATGTCTCCAAATTCTGTCAAAAATATATTCTTCCCCCACACTTTCATTCTTGTGGTGGTAGAAGTCATAGAAGCACAGCAGGGCAGATCTGGAAGGTAAACTAAAGGTAATCTCAAAGCAACACTTCAGCTTTCCTGGTAGATGATAGCTAACTTCTGGTTGAAAACCTCAAATGAACCTCTAGACACGTTCAAAATTTTTCTCACTAACCAATAAATTAAGTAGCTAATGTCCATGGTCTTTGGGGATTAGAAAGCACAGCTTCTGAATTCATCAGATATGGATTTCAAGCAAGTTACCGGGTACTAAATACTGGAAGTGAGGTGTAAAGTTTTTGTAATGCCAAACTATGATTAAATACTAAAGATTCAAAATTAGAACTCTCATTCCCTTTAATTTCTTTTAGGAGCAAATGGAGAGTCTTAGGAATTAGATTGTGCCTTTGGCAGTGAGGCAGGGTGCATTTCATCCCGTGGTTCAATTTTTCCATCAAAAAGCTCACTAGATGTTATTTGCACCAATTGAAACAACATACTGGAACACTAGTTCTCACTTTAATGGGGCAAAAAGTAGCAGGGATGGGATTTAAATCAAGGAAATATGAAAGGAAAAGACTAAAAAGCCCTCCACCAGCTTCATGGACCCAAAGTAATTTGGCTGCACCAAAGCTCCTTTAAAAAACTAAACAAAAAAATTCCTTTGAAAATAAAAGAGACAAAAAACCAAAATGTAGATGCCCATTGTCTTATCAAATTTCAGCCATGAAAGCTCACTGAAAGTATGAAACTGGTAAAAACACTACAGTACTTAAATAACTCACCTTGAAAGCCTTATCAGAGTTGTTATAGATTGGTTCTGACTTGAGGGCACACAACATAACAGAAGGAGAGAGGCAGACAGACAGACAGAATGAGAGTTGATAAAGTGGTATGAAATATTGCAACCAGCTGACCCATCTGCCTCCTTAGTCTGTTAACTGCTAATATGCAGTTTCAAAGCCCCTTTGCTTTCCTTCTTACATATTTTTAAAACAGGACATCAACTTGACGTCCTTGAAATTGATAACACACTCCTACAAAGGGCTATGCTCTATAAAGTAGGATGTAAGGTAAAGGTAAAGGTTCCCCTTGACAATTTTTTGTCCAGTTGTGTCCGCCTCTAGGGGGCGGCGCTCATCCCGCTCTTCAAGCCATAGAGCCAGCATTTGTCCGAAGACAATCTTTCCGTGGTCACATGACCAGTGTGATTTAGACACGGAACGCTGTTTACCTTCCCACCGAGATGGTACCTATTTATCTACTCGCATTTGCATGCTTTCGAACCGCTAGGTTGGCGGGAGCTGGGACAAGCAACGGGCGCTCACTCCGTCGCGTGGATTCGATCTTAGTAGGATGTATAACCACCCAAAACATAAGTATGCATTTGTCCCTTGCTTGCTTGCTGCCTTGTGATTCTTTGGGAAGATTTGTTTATCCAAGGAGGATCAGAATGGGAAATAAACAATGTTAAAAAACAAAACACTCAAACACAAAGTTGGTTGATTTGTTTAAAACAAACACAAGACTGTTTAAAATATATACCTGACCCACATCATCTTGTGGATACTTGTCAGTGGGTTTTGGTTATCTACTGAAGGATGAGATTCCCCAAACTGAGAAGCAACTAACAAGAACATCTTTCAGAGTTCCCTCTTTGTAAGAATCCCACTCTTCTAAAGAAAATAATATTATGGTGGAGCATAAGGACAACCCTGATTTCAACAACCTTGGAAGTGATCTACTGTTGTTGCTCCAACTCACCTCCATGAACCTGATTTCCAAGAAAGAGCTGTACATACTATTTGTCTGGACACTCAGTTATGCCTACTAATGACTCTGTTCATCAGCAGACGTTATGCTAAACAGCCTAACATAGAGGCAGCTGCTTCCAGGCTGTATATAATGGACTGCACCAGATAATTACTGAATAGCAGTAAATACTCCAGCCTGGTTCATCCATTCAAGCTGCTGAATGAATTTCACTTGAACACAACCATAGGGAGGGGAATCTATGTATTAAGTGCCTTCCTATGCTTGCCTTGTGTGAGTTTTAACTACAGCTATGAACCATTCAGTGGCTACTTACGCACTGCTAGAAAAAACAAGACAAGACATGGATTGTCATTAAATGTCCATATACTAATTAATATTCAAAACCAATTTAGAACTTTTATCTATAATTTAAATAAGAATGTAAGATATCTGACAACTGCGGGAACAGAGATACTTGACCTACGTACCTGCTTACTCACTCTGCTGTTCAAATAGTTAACTATTGGGAGGGAATTTCAAGGCCCCTGCCTGCGCTCCCTCTTATTTATCTTTAAACCAAATTTCAGCCATACATTTTTTTCAAATGGAAGATAACTTCAAATATAGGACTGGCCTCTGTAAAAGCCCCAACCCAATTATAATCTCCCCTTTTTAATGGTTTGCATGGGCGCAGTTTGATTCATTTAGTAGTGGAGGCATACATAAAAATAGTTTACCCTGTAGAACTGATGCAGTTGTAGCTTTAAGTGTGCATTACTTAGGCTGTCTGAGTTAATTAATTAACACGCTTGCAACAAGCTGTGAATTTAAACAGTTGAACCAGCAATGTTCTACAGTTAGATATATTTTTTTTCAAATTCATTTTTGCCCTGCTGACATTGTTCTCTTTTCTTGTTTCCTCCATTTTCCCATTTGCTTGCCACAGAAGAGGAAGGATCACCATACCAGGTCAGTATCACCAATAATCATCAGCAATTGGAGGCGGGCAGAGCCGTTTCCCCACCTTGTTCATCAAACTACTGTTCCCAAAAATCTTTTGAAGAGAGCCCTGAGAGTTAAACTGTTAAATAAGTTAAATAACTGTTAAAAAGTTAAATAAGATTGTTACATGTTTGTAGTAAGGATGTGTGCTAGGAATCCACTGAGGTATACGTGTTACAGTCTCCCCACAAACATTTTACCAAGGAATCCTGTTTCCATCAACTTACCTGCCATATCTTGAGTGGAATCCAGGATGCACTTTAGAGTAGCCCTGCCCAAATAATCATCCACAACCACTGTGGGAGTTGCGCTCCAATATATCTGGATTCTAGCAGGTTGGGGAAGGCTTCTCTGGACCAAATACTGTTCATGCGAAGCACCAGTCACAGTTATACACTGTACCCTTCACCACTGTTCACTGTGAAATGAAAGCGCAATCAAAATCTTTTTACTAAACCCCAAGATGCATCAACTAGAGTCTGCTGGAGTTCTCCTTCAGTAAAACTAAAGATTTCTGAGTCCGGGAATTTGTTTAGAGTACAAGAACTGAACAGAACACATTGTCCTTCCACACAAAGACCCACTCTTCGCACTCTCTCCAGTTCAGTACTATAATGTTACAGGAAAAGCCATTTTTGTTCCTATTGCTGTTAAACAATTGGGAGTAATCTTTGTGGATCTACTGCAGATCACTAGGACATCTCATACCACTATCTACAAATAGATCCAGATCTCCTTACAAGTAGATCAGCTCCAGATCCCACGCCAACCTAGAATACAGCCATTAAAAAAATTAGTACGCTGCACAGGGAAGACTGATAATTGTGGGATAGCCATCTTTCAGAGAAGTCTGTTTCCCATGGATGAGACAATGCTGAGATTCCAAGGAAACCAGGTTTTTTCAAAGTACGTTTTGTACATCATGACACTGTCATATGTTGGGTAGCATGCTACAGAATACTCCTAAAACAGTGTCCATTTTTCTCTGCATATATGTATGTCTGGCCTGGAATAAAGTGCTTGTCCCTCATCACTGGGTCATTATTCCCTTTTACCCCATAACTACAGGTAATGATGAGGGATCTTCACAAAATTGAGGGCAGCTGATTCTTTTACTTCTTTTCCTAGTAGAAGCCCTGGAAGGACAAAACACAAAGGTTTCCCTACCGTTGACATCAAATGTAATGAAAGAACAAATGGGGATGATTACCTCACTCACATTTCCCCTATCAAAATGTTGAGACTGGAGTCTATGGAACTCACTGCAACAAGGCTCTCTGAACTACAAGCTACTTATTCACTGCCACCAAAATAAACCCTATGTCACTTGTAGAGATTCAACAGCTTATAGCATGGACATTGGGTTGATACCACTGGAAGAAAGAGGAACAAAACTAATGTTTATTAAGGGAATTCTTCACAAATGAGAACAAGATATCACTTTTTAATAGGCTAAGATTGCTTTGATGTACTTAGATTAAACGTGCTTGCTTACTTATCTTATTAATATGTAACAGAACCTTCTCTGGCTAAATAAGCTCTCAATAGCTTTCTCCTGAGACCAGATTTCCTTATACTCCATCCCAGCAAATCTTTTGCCACTAGGGATAAATGTTATTAATATTAGTGTTTCTTTTCCACCAGCTCTTCCTGTTTCCTCTGGCTTCTGGGAAAAGTCTGTTTTGGGGACTAAATGCTAAAGTTTCCTCTAGACTTCTTCCTGAACTTTTCTGGTGCAGGGCTGTGCCGCCTACTTGAAACTGCAACCTTGAAAATTGAAAACACAAACTCACAGCACTGCTTCCTGTTCTCTGAAACCAAAAGATTCAGTGTTTGAATATTTCAAAATGGCTGTGATTTTTTTTTTCACAACATACCATCTAGGGCTTCCCAGACATTGTTTTCCCTTTAAAACTCCTGGCTGAAACCTGGGACTGATTTGTATTGTCATTGAAGTTAGAGAATGGTCAGTCACATTACAAGAGTCCCATCACCAATCCAAACAAACATTGCTTCTCCCCACACAATTTTCAGATAGTTAACCTGGAGCCCATCCCTTCCATAGTAACTATAACAAAGGCAGCCACAACTGTCAGAAGGCCATACAATGGCCAAACTTTTTAATGCACAACACAAATAAATTTGTACGTTTTGGTTCATTCCTTGCAGATAAATAGAGAGATCCTGGCACAGTGGGCGGCATGCATATGTTGGCTTGGTGCATATGCAAATACCCCTGAAATTTGCAGTGTGGTGTGTGTGTTTTTTGCCTATGAGGAATGGACTTAAACTTAGGAATTTGCTTACATTATGCAATACTGGCTTGGTGCATATGCAAATACCCCTGAGAATTGCAGTGGGGTGTGTGTGTGTTTTGCCTATGAGGAATGGACTTAACTTAGGAATTTGCTTACATTATGCAATAGGATTTGGCCTATATATTACAGTCATTAGAAGCTGAAATCTGTTAGTCTCCAGAGATGTGATGCAGGCAAGGCATCATGACTGAGCAACCTTAGGGTCTGTCCACACTGGCGTATAGATATGATGTATGGATTGTTGGTGGCATGGTTTGGATTGTGTCATTAGAAGATGAAATCTGTTAGTCTCCAGAGATGTGGTGCAGGCAAGCAACCTTAGGGCCTGTCCACACTGGCATATAGATATGATATATGGATTGTTGGTGGCATGGTTTGGATTGGGGGAAAAGACCTCATCCACAAGTGTTACTACTTAGAACGATCCATCCTTACCCTTTAAAAGCTGTTGTGCACCTTTCTGGCCCAGCAGTAGGGCATGCATTCTTTTTTGGCATGCTAGTTGTTTAGCCTGGAAATAGATGCCTCCAGAAGCCTCTGTCGTCATGGCTGCAGATTTGAGGAAGGAGAGAGAAAGCAGGGGGAGAATGAGGGAAGAGAAGCAGGAAAGGGGAAAAGGAGAAAACAGAATGGCATGGAGAGAGCGAGAGAATAGTAATGTGAAAAAATAATTTCACTTCCCCTGATCCTCTGCCGACAACCAGAGGAAGCACTTAAATGACAGCTGGTGGGGCTACAAGAAGTGGTTTGCTGTTCAGATGAGAAAAGCACACCGAATAGCACATTGCTCCTCCACCCTGACCTCAGCAGATCCTTTGTAGTCTAATCCAGTGGTTCTTAACCTTTGTTACTCGGATGTTTTTGAACTGCAAATCCCAGAAACCCCAGTCAGCACAGTTGGTGGTGAAGGCTTCTGGGAGTTGCAGTCCAAAACTCCTGAGTAACCCAAGGTTAAGAACCAGTGGTCTAATCCACCCCACACCCAACAGACCTTTACTTGCTGATGAAGCCTATGCATATTTCCTAATGACCCCTCACCAACAAATCAATTAAAATTTAAAACTATGAGAAGTGTGAAAAGCTCTTGCGTAACAATCAGACATTATCACCACATAAAGATTTCCATTTCATAATGTCACTTCATATGTGTTGTATAGTTTGGCCTTTGATCTTTAAACTTAATTCAAGGAAACCTTGTTAACCCAGTAGCCCACAGATTTCCACTGGGTTATGACAGAGAGGCAGTATTTCTCAGTGACAGTGATCCCCTCTGTCATGTATCAGGACTTAGTGCTAGTGGGTTCTAGGAGTTGTTTGAAAATTTATCTTTTTGGCTTGAGTTAGCTGTTGGGAACTTTCCCATATGTTGCTTTATTGTGTTTTTATTGAATTGTTTTATTGCTTTATGGTGATGTCATATACTTCTGAATTTGACCAAAAAGAACAGCCTGTACTAGATGGGATTATACTCCCTCTGAAAACACATGTGCCCAGCATGGGGGGTTCTCTTGGATTTGTCTCTAAGCCTGGATGTCCAGTTTGTGGCGGCGGCCAGGAATGCCTTTGCACATTTAAAACTACAGTGGACCCTCTGCTTATGGAATTAATCCGTATTGGAACAGTGGCTGCAAGTCGAAAAGTCTGTAGGTCGAATCTCCATTGACATACAATGCATTGAAAACCAATTAATCCCATTACCAGTGGTTTTTATTCTATTTTTGTTCCATTTTGTTTTTTTTCTGGTCTGTAGGTCGATTCTCCGGCTGCAAGTCGAATCTAAATTTTGCAGCCAGAGAAGTCTGTAACTCGAAAAGTCTGTAAGTCGAGCCGTCTGTAAGTCGAGGATCCACTGTAACAGCCAGATGCTCCCATTCCTGGAGAGGTCTGACCTGACCACAATGATACATGCCTTAGTATATGCCAGCTAGATTACTGTAATGTGCTCTACTTGGGCCTGCTTTTGGAAAGTGCTTGGAAACTTCAAAAGGTCCAAAATGTTGCAGCCAGATCGTTAAGTGAGGCTGGTTTCAGAGGTCACATAACTCCCCTGTTATAGCAGCTCGATTGGCTGCTGATACGGTTCCAGACACAGTTCAAAGGGCTGGTTTTAAGCTATAAAGCCTCAAACAGCTTGAGTCCAAGCTATCTCAAGGTCCACATCTCCTTTTATGAGCCTGCTTGAGTGTTAAGATCATCAGGGGAAGCCTTTCTCTCAGTCTCACCACCTTCACAGGAGCTTTTGGTGGGGATACCAGTTCTCTGTCGCTACCCTCAAACAATCGAACTCCCTCCCACAGGAGGCCAGGCTAGCTCTCAAACACTGGAACTCCCTCCCACAGGAGGCCAGGCTGGCCCCATCTTTGCCGTCCTTCCACAAACAGGCAAAGACCTTTCTTTTCAAACAGGCTTTTTCTCTGTGACTGTCTAGGAGACAATAAATGAGATGGTTTATATTTTGTTGCTTTTAAATCTGTGGGTTTGGGGGGGGGGTTGGGTAATGCTTTTACCTAACATTTTTTAATATGATGTTATTAATTCTTCTTAATATTTGAAGAAAAAATACTGTTTTTAGCTTTTTATATTGTGTTTTTAATTATGTAAGCTGCCTTGGGTCCTTTTTCAGGAGAAAGGTGGGGTAAAATATTTTAA